TTTCATTTTCATTATATAAACAAAAATTTTTAAGATTAGCCGAAATTGCAAAAAGAATATAATAAATACAGAAAAAACGGCTTACCTATAATCGTCGGCTACTGGTTGACAACTGGCTTTGCCAAATACAATAACGGATACATCAAATCTCTTCGTCTTAGCAAATTTTTCGTACACTGGCCACAGCTGACGCCGAGTAAACCGAGTGGAATCTCCACACTGCGCTTCCACATAGGCTTCAACGCGAACAACATTGCCATATTCTCGAGATGATCGAATAAAGTGTTTAGACTGAAAAAAGTTCCCCAGTGTTAATAAACATTTGACTAGTAAGCCACTGAATTTGATAAAAATGTTTTTGAAATCATGAATTTTGTTTGGTAAATGCGCTGCTAAAATGGCAAAACAGAAAAGCTAAGACTAGTTCTCTACTAGTGTAATTTAATGCAAAAATAATCAGCGTCAGTGCAGCCAAAAAAAAAAAAAGATAAGAGAAGGAAAAGGAAATATGTCTCAAAGTTGAGACAAAAAAAATTTTTAGTAATACAATAAACTGCTATGCACGAAAAATCGCAGCTTCAAAAAAAGAGTTTCTTTCACTTTTATAAGGATTAGTGCCGAAAAAAGTGAGCAACAAAAACTCAAAATTTAAGCAGCAAAAAACTACCAGTTCGACACGTACACGTTTTTTAGTGGTTCGATCAACTAATAACATCTTTGGTAATTTAACCTTACCAGCTAAATTATCACCTAAACCGAATTTTCAGCAAACAAAAAAGTTCATCCCCCATTGGAGAGCAATCCTTCACTTTTACAGATTCCAGTATTTGAATGACTATAGCAAGTGTTGTACAATGTGTCAAAGAGCGCTGCCAAACTATCAATTAAAGAAAAGATAAAACAGCCACAAACTAAGCAAAAATCAAGGGACAACAGTGAGGATAGTTCGTACAGCAGTTTCAGGCGTCCATAAACTTGTTGCAGTAGTCTCGATAGTGCGATTATTGCAGAATTCTCCACCAAACAGGATGCACGACAATTCATTGAGGTGTTGCGCATTGGCAGTTTCTAAACTGTCAATTGCCTGGCTGCAAATTAGGACAGATGCAAAGACCACTGAGACCGTCAGCATCGTCCAGAAAATTATCACCAAATTTGAGTCCCAAAAAAGTTAATCAAACAAACAACAACAGATTCTGGGCGCCAGATGCTCACAACTTGGAGTCTAAAGCACTGGTTTGTCGGCACACTCTAAGCGGAAATTTATATCTTTTTCGTACAGCGCAATCCACACAGATTTACGCAGGTTTTTTTTTCTGTTAACTTTTTTCTAGTGGGCCGTCCTGTTCAAACAATTCTCAACAAAAATACAGCAAAGGGTAATTATGCCAGAATTTGCGGTTTCCTCCAAGAAAATATTGTGAACATTTCTTGCATAGACAGTTATTCCACCGTTAATCATCATCAATATCATCATTATCGTCATAAACTACCGGTATCCAACTGGTGTTAGCAGAGCTAATTAGAAAACGAAAAAGAAAACCAAAAAAAAAAAGGCAAAAAACAACTCTGAACGTCAAACAAGATTTATTTATTTCTACTGTGACAATATAAGTAAATACTTATAAAGGTTATTGAAATTTTGAAAAGTGAGATTTTTTTTAAGAGGTCTTAGTTTCTAGAATAAACAGTGAGCTAAATGACATTTTAACTAATTCAATTTTGCCACCGTTTCTTAATTGTCAAAAAAAGAACTATAGTCAAAAATTTTTCTTTGCCTTCTACTTTTCCTGTCCGCCATAGCGATATATACATATGTATTTTTCGAAACATAATTATGCTCTTTCTTATTTGCAGGGATTAATATCTAAAGAATCCGAAGAAAAAAATACCGTTTAAGGCAGTCAGCAATGCCTGTAAAACTAAGCGCATAGGAAAAAAACAAACTGACAGTGGAAATGAGCCTTTTTGGCAACGGTCAGAATACAGCCTACATTAGGAAGCGTGTGGACTCAAATAGTATAATCCAAATTGAAGAATGCTGACTAATAAAAGACTAATGACAGTAGAAGAAATAAAGTTGTTAACAACTGTTAAGACTGTTGTTACCAACCCAGAATAGACTTCCAGAAAGCATTTAGTTTTAAACTATAAAATATTTGTCTTTTAGTAGCATCGTAATTGTCTCCAAGTGAGTATAACTTGACTAAACCTAAATTTCAGCAGCGTAACGTACGTTTCCATTAGCAAACCGTATTCAACGACTGTGAAACACCAGTGTCCTAGTATCGATGACAATCGAGAAGAGCGCCATCAAAGAATGTTACAAAAGTGGGCAGAAAAAATTTGACGTTTTACGTTATAATCATATTACTACAACAATACAGCAGTGTTGTTTGCCGCAGAATTAGTTACCAAACGTTAAATAGAAAAGTAAACGAAAAAAACATAAACGACTGTTTGAAACAATTAGACTAGAATTTATTTTTGCTTTATTTTTTATTTACTATTAATGACTCATATACACTTTTCAGGTAATCATTCATCAACTGACTTCTAGGTAAAAGTTGGTAACGTAAAGAAAGCATTTTAATTGAAGAAAGTAAGAAAAGACTTTATCATGTCTTACAGTCCCCTTCCCCCTCCTCCCTTCGCCGCTCCTGTTCCCTACCACTCTTTAATTTTTGCAATTTAGATTGCGTAATTTTTTTGATACGCGTCAGGCAGCGGGTGTCAGTCATCCTTCACATGAAACCAAAATCAAAAGGTCACTTAACGGTGCTGGAAGTATGTAGTAAATATTTATAATATACCACATCAATGTGGCTTTGTTCTGAAACATTTATATAAATGTGTCTTTTTCGCCATGTGAAATTTAATACATGTCAGTTATCAAAAATCGAAAAAAAAAACAATCATCAAAAAAGTGAAGAGTACAGTTTTCAAAAAAAAGGATCAAATATATACCAGGTTACTGTAAAGCTATCAACAATCTTTTTCAGATTTATAGTTTCACAATTCACATTTGTTTACAAGAAAAGAGGCAAAAAACCTTTTTTTATTTATAGTCTTGTTCAGGTCTATTAATTGAACTCTTGGATGAGATGATTAATCTTGGTGTTAGAATCTAGATATGTAACAGTAAACACCAATAAAGCACTTGTAAAAGATGGAAACAAAAAACTACAACCTGTTCAAAATTGGACCCACTGCTCAAAACTTGCACATTTGGTAAGCTGTTAATCGCACCGGCTTGCCCAACATCTCCAAATCTTTTTACAGATTCTGAAGCAGCGACCCATCGGTAGAGGAGATAGACCGAAATCAGAACTATTAGGCCATACATATATGGTCGATGAGAGTTACGCCAACTTCTTCTACAGGTTTTTGGCAAAACGTAAGCATCATCTTTATGTTTCATCACTGACACGTGCTAAAAAGTAGCAGTATTTTAAGTTCTTATGAATATGATTTGAATGCAAATTGACAACATTAAAAATCTTCCTATACGATAACGGCTATTTGAAAATAGATCTTAAAAAGTGCAATTTCTTTAGCCTAACTACGGCAAAGTAAGCGGTTATTTGAGCAAACGCGAAAAAAACTTAGTTAAAACTTTTTTTCCTTTTACTTTTTTTCCTACCTCAAAAATATAAGTTTTTTTCAAAAAAAAAGCTTATTTAAAAAATCTTTTACACTACACGTAAAAATATAAGTATTCTACAACTGTATAATACATAAAGTAGAGTTTTTTGATTACAGAAAAGACTTTATCAAGCAAAAACTACGTCTCAAAATATAGCGGAGACAGACCTAAAGAGGTAATTTTTTACCTATAAAATAGTTTGCTAAAGAAGCTATAATGCAGATGTTTGAAAAATCTGCTAAAGTAGAACCATTATCTACAGTCAAGCTACGTTCATCATATTCAGCTGATATCTAAAAAAAAGTTTTTTTTTTGCTCACTTAGTAATTACTTGTTGTTTGAAACATTATTTGAAACTTCAGTTTAAAACAAAAAAATAAAAAGTCAAAAAAGATGGAGCTGTCCCAAAGAAATCAATGAAACCTCCTTGTACATACTTAATTCAAACTATTAAACCAAAAATAACATTCAACTTATTCGCAAATTGGTTTTGCCAGAGCTGTGTACTACAGAAGATGTACAATGAAAATTGCATAATATTACTGTCCACAAAAGAATACTAGTTGATAAATTTTGCAGTGTTGTCAAATATGGCATTCTTTCCGTAGTGATGCATTGCATATTTTCGATTATTTAGAACAAACATTTGATTGTTTTAAAATTTATTCATGATTGCTTCAATAAACTTTCGCCAAAATAGTTTCAGTTTATTGACAGAACAAAAAGAAAGCGAAAGAAAAAATTAGGTGCAAAGAAAGGTTTTGTAAAAGAAAAAATTTATTTATTTAGAATGCATAAATTATCAATCTGCAATACTGCATGACAAACATTTTTCACAAACATTCTACCTTGATTTGGTTAGCTTATGGGGGAGAGTCCTTTTTTTTTTGACCAACCTAGTTTGCATTTTGTTTCGCCTAGAAATTAGCCTATTTTCTTCTTTGTATTTTTTTTAGGATAAAAAGTTTAAGTCAACAAATACGTTTTGCTAAAAAAAAAAAAAAGAAATTTTTTGAATTGGAGGCAATGAAGTGTCATCAGATACAATGACATAACATACAACAAACAGTTACTGTGCCCAGAGCTCGTATAATTGAATTGATATCTTAGCTGGGAAGAAAATATAAAGCTGTTGTTAATTGCATAATTAGTTGGATTTTGAGCTGCAAAAAAAAGACGATTATATGGTCTAGTCGTCTATTTTTTTTTTCCTGAAGTTAAATTCACTTCCTTTTTTTTTTTTAAGTGAGTGGCCAAATAAGCTTGCAATGCTTTGTCAGCTTATTTTTTGGCCATTTATTTGTTTGATTTTTCAAACGAAAAAAACTTCCATAGTAAACAAGTTGTACTTTAGTGTTTTTCATTTGTCGGAAACTAATATCAACAACATTTTGCGCTATGTGTTGCTTGGCATTTAAAAAATTCGCTGTTGGTTTATATTCAAATACATTAGAGGTGCTAAGCAGAAAATATGGGATATGTAAAGTTCAGTTTATTCATTTATTTATTTTTTCTTTTTATTTGTGAGGTTCAAATAAATAAAGTTAAGCTGAAATGCTGGACAAAGGTTAAAAATTAAATCTTTTTTTGTGTGTCAATAAAAACAATCGGAATGAATGCAACAAGACTGCGTTTGAGAGAGCCTCTGATCGAGTGAAATATTTACAGGGTTTTTTTTTACCATTAAGATCAAATAAATAGTATTGCTTAAAATTTTTATGCACTAAAGGCAATTTCAACGAGTCCTTACATCAACAATTGAAAGCCGTCAAAATGCCATAATAGAATTCTTCTTTTGAAAATGTTCTTAAAGTGAAAGGAACTGTTTGGAAGTTAGTGATGGAAAATTTGCTTATTTGCTAACACCCAGTGAAAGAGTTGCTTTTGTTGATTTTTCTTTAAAATTCAATCAGAGCGCCAATGACTATACAAGAACAGAAAAATAGTGTACACAAGACGTAATAATAGTGAACAGAAGTAATGTGGTCTCAAAATGCTCAAATATTGTTCAGTTAAAAATAAGAAATTGACATCAAGGCAATTAAGATAATAACATTTATATGCTATCCCACTTAGCTAAAACTGTTTAGAGTGTTTGGAATTTTAACTGCAGCATTGTACAGTGCAGCATTACACTATTTTTAGCCAAAAATAAATTAGGGAAAACGTACATTTGGATATCACAGGATATTTGCATAAAAACAGAAGATTTTCAAAGGAACGAATGAATGCAACGGGACGTTACATTACGTCTTTATTAAATTTGCAAAAATTATCAGGAAAAAAGGTGTGGAGGAAGAGGATAAAACAAGCTCAGAAGCTTTATTTAGACATAACTTTTTTTGACGATAAGGAAGAACATTATTTACGTTTAGGTAATAAGTAATTGTAACCCAAGAAATAGTTTAATTACCGGTTTTTCCAGCGAAGGAGTTGCAAACCAATGTCCAGTACTACAATATTTCTCGAGAAAAAGCTAGGTATGC